CAAATTACTTTAATTTGTCACATAATATGACCACACGCATCAAAAGTCCAATCAGGCCACATATTAAGGCCATATTTTTCAAAAGTCCGCCCTGGCCATGTAATAAGGCCACTTGCATCAAAAGTGGCCTTATTCTTCTTCACACTCTGTTCTGGACGAAAATAAGGCCATATGCATCAAAAGTTCATTCTGGCCAGATAATAAGGCCAGAAAGAATATGGCCTAAGGCCCGTCCTTGCCTAAGGCCACGTTCTTCATAAGAATGCCCAATGAAATAATAAAGATTTTTTTCTTATTAAGACTGAAGAACAAACATGAATAATTTACCACAAATCATGTGTGACAAATTTGTCAATGTTCTCGTTCAATTTAAATATTTTTTGCCGTCAAAGTTATTTAGGATTTTTTTTTGAAATTTAGCTTATTCATATATTTAAAGATATACTTAAAAATCAGGTATATGAAAATAAAAGTACAACCTAGAATCTCTAAAATATAAAATAAAACTCTTGAGAAATAAAATAAAATACTGACTAAATAAAATACGTCGGCAATGTGAAACGAGGAACAAAATGTGTAATAATTCCACTCCACAAACATAACAGGGACCTCGTAGTAATGGGGCGATACAATGAGTCAGGACTTCTGATTTGCAGAATCACCCCCCAACCATGAGATTAATTAGGAGAAAAATTCTAGGTGAAATCAGATTCGCCTTTTATGTGAGGGGGCGAGACGTCCTCCCTGTGGAGAGTTAATGGTGAGTGAGCGGTAATGGGTCGTCTTTGGGTAGTTGTGGAAAGGCTGTATTGAAGTTATGTGTTTTATAGCGCTGCGGCCAAATTATAAATGGCAGAAACTTTATGTTAATCACCACAACATCAATAGACAATGTATATCTTCTTATAATATAGTTAAATTTCCTTTTCTTTTTGTTTTTCAAATATTTAGACAGGCTTAGCCAGCGCCAGGTGCCAAACATCGTCTTGAGGGTCAGTATGTCACCATTGCGCGCAGTTCATTTTCGAATTTCGACGACACCGACCAGTCTATGTCCTTTACCCTAGACAATTTGCCCCTGCAGATTTGTGTGAGACAAGCCTAAATCATCTGGACCTAGATTCAGGAAGCTCTGTGTATTTCTTCGTAAGTTGGTTTGCTACGAAGGTTCCTAAGTGCGCCCTAAGAAGATGCTTAGGTGCGATTCAATAAGGTCCACTTAGGAAGAAATTTGTTCGTTCACCTGCGTGCCGATAGAGGTCACTACTGTGTTTCGTTTGGCCAATCAGAGAGCAGCAACATTCTTCATATTGAAGATTTAGCGCTGGTTTTTCGGAGCTCTACTGCCTCCTATTTACGTCGAATTTTCTTATAAAATTAATATATTTCGAAGTAAAACAATGTTTTTTCAACTTCTACAGCCAGCACCGACATTGTAGTAAACAAATATGTTACATTTGTTATTTACCTACGTAATTCTAAGAGATACTGTGTAGCTGCCCTTGTTGCTCGGAAGATGCGCTGACAATTATTGTATATATTTACTGAATTTACCCAAGGGCCACTAACTATCTAGTGGCCTCGAAGAGGACAGAAAGCCGGCGGCTTGTTAAAGGGCCCGCCAATTGTCTTAATGATATTTTTAGCTGGAATTTGGCATTTACGGCTTCAGCGGGTAGGCGGTTCCATGGGTTTATAGCCATCTTGGTGGTAAAAAACATCTGTTTTCAGTCCTACTTGAGAGAACATACTCTCCAACACTATATCTGTGATTGCCCTGTTATCAGTGACTTCATTCCAAATGGTATGAGGTATTTTGAGCTCTGTAATTACTTCATACACTCAGGAATATTGGAAGATATTCTTGTGCTGCACCCAGATTTTGCCAGTGGAGGCTAATAGATCAGCATTAAGTATTTTGTTCTCTCCTAATTCCATGTATGACTGGCCATCCTGTGAGGTGAGGATGTTGGATGAGCTTGTAGCTGGTTTTTGATCTACATTGTGTGGTCCTTTATACAGAATAGGGAAGCAGCACATTGCTGTGTATACCTAAACATGTTTAAAAATACATTGTTTGAGAGGAGTCTTGTAGAAACTGGTAAGAGTAATTATAATGTTTCCATGATTCAGTGCTTACCTCTTGTGAAAATCGCGAAGAGTTGTTTAGTCAGAGTTGATTTGTTTTTTGTATTGAGGCTGGTATTTTCTAAATTGATTCCATGTACAGTACTGTATGTCTAACCATCCTGTGAGATGGGAGTATTAGATAAACTTATAGCTAGTTTTTTATCTACACTGTGTAATATTCCATATAGAATAGGGTAGTAGTACATTGCTGTGTATACCTAATCTTCTTAATAAAAAAAATCAGTAATAAAGATTTTAAATTATAGTTTGTATTATAACAAATACAGTACTGTATTATCCTTAATAAATCATGTTGACCATGGATCATTAAGATCTCATGTTGATATGTAATAGTCATATTTCTTTTGAACTGCTAATCCATGCTAATCATTCATTAAATTGTGCATTATGTCTCAATTTTTCACTTCCTTGGATATACTATACAGTACAAAAAGATAGGATAAAAATAAACCAGTAATATTTCTTTCATTATATTTTTCATTTAAATAACTGCATCAATATTTTTACAGCTGACAGGATTTGTTTTACCATACAGGTGCATTATTTGTTAAAAAAAATTTGGTTTATTGTTACACACAATGGTGCTACATAGCCTTCCCAGCTTGGTGCCTTCTTTTAATACTTACTGATTAAAAAATAAATATTAAATACATTTTATTCAGGAAAAGTGCATACAGTTGATTTACAAACATAATGTTGGATTTATAGACAGAGCTAGTACATACAATACCTAAAGCCACTAATACTCATAGCATTTCGGGCAAGGTGTGGGGGAAAAAAACACAGACTAAAACTTAATAGTAATCGGGATTAGGTATAAAGTGTGTTGAAAGAAGGAATAAAAAATAAAAAAAGGAGGGGTTAACATAGCATAAATCAGCAATTGCACATGTTGGTGAACAGCATTGTTTAAAAAATAGCATGACATGGGTTGACATTTAGGAGGTAAGTTAGGTTACATGGAGTTAATTAGGCAGTACTTGGTTTAACTCTTAAACTGGTTGAGAGAGGTACAGCCTTTGACATGATTCGGGAGGTCATTCCACATTCTGGGTCCCTTGATTTGTAGAGCACTTCTAGTTTGGTTACACACAGCCAAATTGTGTAACAGGAAGAGGTCTTGGACACAAATTTGTTCCATGCTAAATGTAGAGGAATCACCTGAGTATTCCTCAAATAAAATAAGTTGCTTCAGCTTATAAGGTAAATAAAATAAGCATTTCTCAAATAAGTAGCTGCCTCACCTCACTGCTTTACTGCTACATAGCCTTCCCGGCATGGTGCCTTCTTTTGATAATTACTTGTTCCACACCCAAATTGTACAACAGGAAGAGGTCTTGGACCCCTACTTCCCTCTCTCTTTTTTAATAGTCTATATAGTCATAATTATAGCTTTAAGTATTCAATGAATAAAGTTTTTGACATTTTTACCCTTCTCCTTACCTAACATCATTTGTGCAGCATATTTTTATTTTATGTCTCACCCAGATTTAATTTCAAAATAAAACCACACTAAATAAATTAGAAATGGGTATGTATAGCTAAGGTACACCCTTACTACTAGGTGAACAGGGTCATTTGGTGATAGTAAATGATCCCATCAGGCAGGGCTCATCACCTTCTCTCATATTTCATGTTCACCAGTGTTTATTTACTTAATAACTACAGGTATAATATCTTGCTATTATAAAACTAATTCTACTATCATCAAACACATATTTACTTCAAGTTTCAAGCAGAGAATGCATATATAACTAACATGAAGGACTCCTCTTCACTAGATTCACCAGCTATAATATTTTGGTCATGTTCCAATATCATAAATCGATCCCAGTGTTATGTAGTAGAGAAAAAATGACTTATATCCAGTTTACGTAAAGCTACAAGTGGAGGAAACCACACTTAAATCCCGGAATGAACTTACGAAGGTTTTTCCACTTAGTGTAGCTACTTGAATACGGACGTAGCCGCCACGAAGGCGCTAAGATGGAAAACGTTCTTAGCTAAGAGGAAAAACCTTCGTAACTACCTTTTTGAATCCGGCCCCTGGCCTCCAACCAGGTGATGTGACCGACTCCATTTAAAAAGGACCAATAGGAACGACCACGACCAGCCTGTATCCTTCCCGTACCCAGACCATTCAACCTGCAACGTTTGTTGAGGCCATCCTCAAGCTTCTGGTCTCAAATGGTAAAATTAAATAGCAAATGTGTTTCCAATGGAGTTTACTTCCTCTGCTGCATATTTTCATGATTTACTCGAGAACAATGAACTGAATTTCTTCAGGTTACAGAGATCAAGCAATCCTGTCCTGTCGAATAATACATTACATTTTGTGTATAAATGCAGAAACGGGGAAAAAAATAATGGTTTATAACTCATAATACCTCAAAAAAATTACGGACTCTTCCATTTTCTATTCATACATTCTGGTTAGCTTCCGTTCAGACAAATTAGTATATAATTTTTTTCACGTTGTGATAAGTCCAGAGGACGGACTGCAACTTTGCCGGTTGTAATGTGAGTTTTTCTGGCTTCGATAGAACTTTTAGAGATAGAGAACTGGATGGAGAGAGAATAGGAGGGAAAGAGAATGGGAGGATCCGATTGCGTGATGGAGAGTAACAAAGATATATAATTTTCATCATTGTGCTTGACATGTTGAGGTCCACCAGCCCACCACTGGCTGCATCAGAAGGATTCCATTGTCCTTCATATACTGAATGCTACAGGACCAACACTTGATGATAGACAAGATTGTCATTCGTCTTAATATATTCACTATCACCGGCTGCTACACAGGAATACCATTTTGCCCTAAAGGTTTAGCAAAAAACTAAAGACATTCAAAAATATAAAGTATTTATTTAAACATTCGAAGCGACGTTGACAGAAGCATAACAGTAACAAGGAAACGGAAGTGGGTATTAAGTATTGTGGGCCGTTTTCTGGTTGAGACCGCGATTACTGTCTCTGTCTCACTTTCCCACAGGAGGAAGGTAGCCAGTGCTAGGAGATCCACCGAAGGAGCCACCACCGCCTCCGAAGTGACCACCACTTGAGCTTCCAGATGATCCACCGGAATAGCCACCTCCAGCGCCTCCAGAGAAGCCACTAGACGATCCACTTCCAGAATATCCGCCTCCTGAACCTTCCGAGAAGCCACCTCCTGAGCCCCCAGAGAAGCCACCTCCTTTACCTCCAGAGAAGCCACCAGACGAACCACCTCCGGAATATCCGCTTCCTGAACCTCCAGAGAATCCACCTGAGCCCCCTATGAAGCCACCTCCTTTACCTCCAGAGGAGCCACCAGACGAACCACCTCCGGAATATCCGCCTCCTGAACCTCCAGAGAAGCCACCTCCTGAGCCCCCTATGAAGCCACCTCCTTTACCTCCGGAGAAGCCTCCTGATGAACCACCTCCGGAATATCCGCCTCCTGAACCTCCAGAGAAGCCACCTCCTGAGCCCCCTATGAAGCCACCTCCTTTACCTCCGGAGAAGCCTCCTGATGAACCACCTCCAGAATATCCGCCTCCTGAACCTCCAGAGAAGCTCCTGACCTCTATGAGCCACCTCCTACCTGAAGCCTCCTGATGAACCACCTCCAGAATATCCGCCTTACCTCCGGAGAAGCCTCCTGATGAGCTACCACCTCCAGAGAATACGTGAGCCCCCTATGAAGCCTCCTCCTTTACCTCCAGAGAAGCCACCTGATGACCACCTCCAGATATCCGCCTCCTGAACCTCCAGAGAAGCCACCTGAGCCCCCTATGAACCTCCGGAGAAGCCTCCTGATGAACCACCTCCGGAATATCCGCCTCCTGAACCTCCAGAGAAGCCTCCTGAGCCCCCTATGAAGCCACCTCCTTTACCTCCGGAGAAGCCTCCTGATGAACCACCTCCAGAATATCCGCCTCCTGAACCTCCAGAGAAGCCACCTCCTGAGCCCCCTATGAAGCCACCTCCTTTACCTCCGGAGAAGCCTCCTGATGAACCACCTCCGGAATATCCGCCTCTTGAACCTCCAGACAAGCCACCTGAGCCCCCTATGAAGCCACCTCCTTTACCTCCGGAGAAGCCTCCTGACGAACCACCTCCGGAATATCCGCCTCCTGAACCTCCAGAGAAGCCACCTGAGCCCCCTATGAAGCCACCTCCTTTACCTCCGGAGAAGCCTCCTGATGAACCACCTCCAGAATATCCGCCTCCTGAACCTCCAGAGAAGCCACCTGAGCCCCCTATGAAGCCACCTCCTTTACCTCCGGAGAAGCCACCAGATGCACCACCTCCGGAATAACCGCCTCCAGAACCACCAGAAAAGCCACCTCCTGAACCTCCGGAGATGAATCCACCGGAGTGTCCTCCTCCTGAGCCTCCAGAGATGAATCCTCCGGATGTGCCACCTCCTCCGCCGTAACCGCCTGACCCTCCTGAAGAACCTCCGTGTCCTCCTCCTCCGCCAATCCCGCCTCCACCTCCAAGTCTTCCTCCATAACCGGCGGAGGCCAGTCCCAGGACAAGCACCAGCACCAGAATTCGTGACGGTCTCTGGAAAAGAAATTTATATTCATTATTTACCATTCTTTCATAATTCAAATCACCTGCCACACCCTTCATCTTACAGTACATTCTCCACGATACATTCCTGCAAACTTTGCTCCTAATAGTACTTGAGTTATCTCTAATTAATAAGATCGATTTTGTAAGCTCTGCGTTCTTTAAATCCAAATTAGTACTGCAGTTATATGTAATATTATCAATCATTGGAAAAGATTTTTTTTAACAAATTAAGAATATTTCGAAGGAATGTACCTTCATGATTTTGTTTATTTTATTTAAACAAAATCAATTATATTTATTAAACAATCTGTTTTTAAACTATAATTAAATAACAATAAACGTGACCCAGTTAACGAACAGATATGTCAGTTGAAATCTCGACAATATTTCAGCCTTTTGTGTGAAAGTATAAAACAAATATATCAAAGTTCTTTTGAATAAACTGTTTCCTTTAACTTTACTTTAAACCGTTTTTGAACAGTTTGTTTTTATTTCAGTTTTGAAGGAGGTAATTTTGTCTCGAAATGTGAACGAAATCGGATCTTTGGAATAATAACAGGAGTTAGTACATGTTTACTTATTGATATTTGGTGTCATTTGCAGCAATTTGTTAACTGTTAATAATTGTGATAAAATCGAAAGACAGAATAAAATCCCACCAAGTGCATCAAATGTGTTGATGGTGCCAGGACAAGATGAGTCTTTGATTACCCTCCAGCTTATGGCACTAATGTTGTTATAAGGGGACCACAGGTATGTAATGTAACAGAGTAATGGCTTAAAAGTTACTTGACAACACTACGAAGGAAAGGTGAGGTAACTATGTGAATACTTCGCTAGGATAATATGATACTATTGTTACAATGATAGAAGAAGAAGCTAATGATAGACGTCTCACCATGCTTGCAGTAGCTGTTGGACTGTGCCTGAGACCGTCTTGCGCCGCCTTATATATCCACCAAGTGTATCTTCCAGGGTCGGGCGAATTATAAAGCACCGACCCATGAACGTACTTATCACTATTACCTGATACGGACTACATTCCTTCACTGTTGAACCAGATATTGATTCCTATGACTTGCTGTATGTTATGTAACGAAAGGAGTCTGACTCCATCCAGTGATGAAGATGACAGAAGATGTACAAGGTTACTGATTCAGCTTTTTCACGGTTGGGGTTTTACCCCTAGAACAGAGCCGCCTCAGCCTGCAACATAAAGGTGGGCACTCTCAGTGTAAATACTTTCAGAATTTACTTTAAGCCATTAATTAACGCTGGAAATGTTTATGTCTCCAGGATGCGTCTTTTTATTGATCTTCGCAGCCGAAATGCAGTGAATCATACCAAGATAGATTCTCGGGCGTGATTACCTTGCATATATGTCGGTGTTTTAGGCCGAAGGCCGAATAAACCGAATTCCCATATTAATAATTTGATCGATCTTATTTTACTTATATTTTGAGAGATATATTCCATTCTGTATTTATGTTCTGCATTTACATATTTTGAGGCAAAACGAGCGATGCAATCTAATGTAACATGTCTGGGACGTTTATTCCTTAACACAGCTTATGTAAATTTCGACCGATATTAAATAATAATTCAGGATATCATTCAAAGATGGTTCCGAAAAATCGTGACAATACATACCTTACGACGTTTTAGCCAACAAAACCGAAAAGTCTGCCTTATATATTATATATAAAGAAATATAAATATATAAGTAAACATATAAATATATGTATACTCCACAATATCCTTCACATTTGAGTTCAAAAAGCAACTTTTATAGAAACATTTAAGTCAGTTTCGACTTATAGCTTTAAATACGAGCAATAGTTTCATTTCTTTACAAATAATATAGTTTTCCTCAACATACGGTGCAGTAATATATCATATAATTGACCACTGTTTCATCTTCACTGTATATACCGATGATGAGTTTCTTAAATACTTTTATATGTGTTCTGAGTAATTACCTTCTTAACACACCAAAGTCTCGGGCATTTTTATGCTATATACTATTTTGTTTTTAAGGACATATAAATACAGCAATTAGTTGTCAAATCCAATTATCTTGAGAACATATGAACATTCGAATTGTTTAGAAGAAACAACAGGGAATAAAGCAAACGGGAAGCTAGCAGACTACTGACCAATATATGACGCTTTAATGTAAGTTAAGGCCAAGGAACTCAAAAATAAAACTTGGGGAAGCATAAAAAATCTCACAACGTAAGAGGAACAAAATATACCGTGAAAAAAGTTTTGCTAAAACGATCAAATTACTTTAATTTGTCACATAATATGACCACACGCATCAAAAGTCCAATCAGGCCACATATTAAGGCCATATTTTTCAAAAGTCCGCCCTGGCCATGTAATAAGGCCACTTGTATCAAAAGTGGCCTTATTCTTCTTCACACTCTGTTCTGGACGAAAATAAGGCCATATGCATCAAAAGTTCATTCTGGCCAGATAATAAGGCCAGAAAGAATATGGCCTAAGGCCCGTCCTTGCCTAAGGCCACGTTCTTCAAAAGAATGCCCAATGAAATAATAAAGATTTTTTTCTCATTAAGACTGAAGAACAAACATGAATAATTTACCACAAATCATGTGTGACAAATTTGTCATTGTTCTCGTTCAATTTAAATATTTTTTGCCGTCAAAGTTATTTAGGATTTTTTTTTTAATTTAGCTTATTCATATATTTAAAGATATACTTAAAAATCAGGTATATGAAAATAAAAGTACAACCTAGAATCTCTAAAATATAAAATAAAACTCTTGAGAAATAAAATAAAATACGTCGGCAATGTGAAACGAGGAACCAAATGTGTAATAATTCCACTCCACAAACATAACATGGACCTCGTAGTAATGGGGCGATACAATGAGTCAGGACTTCTGATTTGCAGAATCACCCCCCAACCATGAGATTAATTAGGAGAAAAATTCTAGGTGAAATCAGATTCGCCTTTTATGTGAGGGGGCGAGACGTCCTCCCTGTGGAGAGTTAATGGTGAGTGAGCGGTAATGGGTCGTCTTTGGGTAGTTGTAGCAGGCTGTATTGAAGTTATGTGTTTTATAGCGCTGCGGCCAAATTATAAATGGCAGAAACTTTATGTTAATCACCACAACATCAATAGACAATGTATATCTTCTTATAATATAGTTAAATTTCATTTTCTTTTTGTTTTTCAAATATTTAGACAGACTTAGCCAGCGCCAGGTGCCAAACATCGTCTTGAGGGTCAGAATGTCACCATTGCGCGCAGTTCATTTTCGAATTCTGACGATACCAACCAGTCTATGTCCTTTACCCTAGACAATTTGCCCCTGCAGATTTGTGTGAGACAAGCCTAAATCATCTGGACCTAGATTCAGGAAGCTCTGTGTATTTCTTCGTAAGTTGGTTTGCTACGAAGGTTCCTAAGTGCGCCCTAAGAAGATGCTTAGGTGCGATTCAATAAGGTCCACTTAGGAAGAAATTTGTTGGTTCACGTGCGTGCCGATAGAGGTCACTACTGTGTTTCGTTTGGCCAATCAGAGAGCAGCAACATTCTTCATATTGAAGATTTAGCGCTGGTTTTTCGGAGCTCTACTGCCTCCTATTTACGTCGAATTTTCTTATAAAATTAATATATTTCGAAGTAAAACAATGTTTTTTCAACTTCTACAGCCAGCACCGACATTGTAGTAAACAAATATGTTACATTTGTTATTTACCTACGTAATTCTAAGAGATACTGTGTAGCTGCCCTTGTTGCTCGGAAGATGCGCTGACAATTATTGTATATATTTACTGAATTTACCCAAGGGCCACTAACTATCTAGTGGCCTCGAAGAGGACAGAAAGCCGGCGGCTTGTTAAAGGGCCCGCCAATTGTCTTAATGATATTTTTAGCTGGAATTTGGCATTTACGGCTTCAGCGGGTAGGCGGTTCCATGGGTTTATAGCCATCTTGGTGGTAAAAAACATCTGTTTTCAGTCCTACTTGAGAGAACATACTCTCCAACACAATATCTGTGATTGCCCTGTTATCAGTGACTTCATACCAAATGGTATGAGGTATTTTGAGCTCTGTAATTACTTCATACACTCAGGAATATTGGAAGATATTCTTGTGCTGCACCCAGATTTTGCCAGTGGAGGCTAATAGATGAGCATTAAGTATTTTGTTCTCTCCTAATTCCATGTATGACTGGCCATCCTGTGAGGTGAGGATGTTGGATGAGCTTGTAGCTGGTTTTTGATCTACACTGTGTGGTCCTTTATACAGAATAGGGAAGCAGCACATTGCTGTGTATACCTAAACATGTTTAAAAATACATTGTTTGAGAGGAGTCTTGTAGAAACTGATAAGAGTAATTATAATGTTTCAATGATTCAGTGCTTACCTCTTGTGAAAATCGCGAAGAATTGTTTAGTCAGAGTTGATTTGTTTTTTGTATTGAGGCTGGTATTTTCTAAATTGATTCCATGTACAGTACTGTATGTCTAACCATCCTGTGAGATGGGAGTATTAGATAAACTTATAGCTAGTTTTTTTATCTACACTGTGTAATATTCTATATAGAATAGGGTAGTAGTACATTGCTGTGTATACCTAATCTTCTTAATAAAAAAATTCAGTAATAAAGATTTTAAATTATAGTTTGTATTATAACAAATACAGTACTGTATTATCCTTAATAAATCATGTTGACCATGGATAATTAAGATCTCATGTTGATATGTAATAGTCATATTTCTTTTGAACTGCTAATCCATGCTAATCATTCATTAAATTGTGCATTATGTCTCAATTTTTCACTTCCTTGGATATACTATACAGTACAAAAAGATAGGATAAAAATAAACCAGTAATAATTCTTTCATTATATTTTTCATTTAAATAACTGCATCAATATTTTTACAGCTGACAGGATTTGTTTTACCATACAGGTGCATTATTTGTTAAAAAAAATTTGGTTTATTGTTACACACAATGGTGCTACATAGCTTTCCCAGCTTGGTGCCTTCTTTTAATACTTACTGATTAAAAAATAAATATTAAATACATTTTATTCAGGAAAAGTACATACAGTTGATTTACAAACATAATGTTGGATTTATAGACAGAGCTAGTACATACAATACCTAAAGCCACTAATACTCATAGCATTTCGGGCAAGGTGTGGGGGAAAAAAACACAGACTAAAACTTAATAGTAATCGGGATTAGGTATAAATTGTGTTGAAAGAAGGAATAAAAAATACAAAAAGGGGGGTTAACATAGCATAAATCAGCAATTGCACATGTTGGTGAACAGCATTGTTTAAAAAATAGCAAGACATGGGTTGACATTTAGGAGGTAAGTTAGGTTACATGGAGTTAATTAGGCAGTACTTGGTTTAACTCTTAAACTGGTTGAGAGAGGTACAGCCTTTGACATGATTCGGGAGGTCATTCCACATTCTGGGTCCCTTGATTTGTAGAGCACTTCTAGTTTGGTTACACACAGCCAAATTGTGTAACAGGAAGAGGTCTTGGACACAAATTTGTTCCATGCTAAATGTAGAGGAATCACCTGAGTATTCCTCAAATAAAATAAGTTGCCTCAGCTTATAAGGTAAATAAAATAAGCATTTCTCAAATAAGTAGCTGCCTCACCTCACTGCCTTACTGCTACATAGCCTTCCCGGCATGGTGCCTTCTTTTGATAATTACTTGTTCCACACCCAAATTGTATAACAGGAAGAGGTCTTGGACCCCTACTTCCCTCTCTCTTTTTTAATAGTCTATATAGTCATAATTATAGCTTTAAGTATTCAATGAATAAAGTTTTTGACATTTTTACCCTTCTCCTTACCTAACATCATTTGTGCAGCATATTTTTATTTTATGTCTCACCCAGATTTAATTTCAAAATAAAACCAAACTAAATAAATTAGAAATGGGTATGTATAGCTAAGGTACACCCTTACTACTAGGTGAACAGGGTCATTTGGTGATAGTAAATGATCCCATCAGGCAGGGCTCATCACCTTCTCTCATATTTCATGTTCACCAGTGTTTATTTACTTAATAACTACAGGTATAATATCTTGCTATTATAAAACTAATTCTACTATCATCAAACACATATTTACTTCAAGTTTCAAGCAGAGAATGCATATATAACTAACACGAAGGACTCCTCTTCACTAGATTCACCAGCTATAATATTTTGGTCATGTTCCAATATCATAAATCGATCCCAGTGTTATGTAGTAGAGAAAAAATGACTTATATCCAGTTTACGTAAAGCTACGAGTGGAGGAAACCACACTTAAATCCCGGAATGAACTTACGAAGGTTTTTCCACTTAGTGTAGCTACTTGAATACGGACGTAGCCGCCACGAAGGCGCTAAGATGGAAAACGTTCTTAGCTAAGAGGAAAAATCTTCGTAAGTACCTTTCTGAATCCGGCCCCTGGCCTCCAACCAGGTGATGTGACCGACTCTATTTAAAAAGGACCAATAGGAACGACCACGACCAGCCTGTATCCTTCCCGTACCCAGACCATTCAACCTGCAACGTTTGTTGAGGCCATCCTCAAGCTTCTGGTCTCAAATGGTAAAATTAAATAGCAAATGTGTTTCCAATGGAGTTTACTTCCTCTGCTGCATATTTTCATGATTTACTCGAGAACAATGAACTGAATTTCTTCAGGTTACAGAGATCAAGCAATCCTGTCCTGTCGAATAATACATTACATTTTGTGTATAAATGCAGAAACGGGGAAAATAATAATGGTTTATAACTCATAATACCTCAAAAAAATTACGGACTCTTCCATTTTCTATTCATACATTCTGGTTAGCTTCTGTTCAGACAAATTAGTATATAATTTTTTTCACGTTGTGATAAGTCCAGAGGACGGACTGCAACTTTGCCGGTTGTAATGTGAGTTTTTCTGGCTTCGATAGAACTTTTAGAGATAGAGAACTGGATGGAGAGAGAATAGGAGGGAAAGAGAATGGGAGGATCCGATTGCGTGATGGAGAGTAACAAAGATATATAATTTTCATCATTGTGCTTGACATGTTGAGTCCCACCAGCCCACCACTGGCTGAATCAGAAGGATTCCATTGTCCTTCATATACTGAATGCTACAGGACCAACACTTGATGATAGACAAGATTGTCATTCGTCTTAATATATTCACTATCACCGGCTGCTACACAGGAATACCATTTTGCCCCAAAGGTTTAGCAAAAAACTAAAGACATTCAAAAATATAAAGTATTTATTTAAACATTCGACGCGACGTTGACAGAAGCATAACAGTAACAAGGAAACGGAAGTGGGTATTAAGTATTGTGGGCCGTTTTCTGGTTGAGACCGCGATTACTGTCTCTGTCTCACTTTCCCACAGGAGGAAGGTAGCCAGTGCTAGGAGATCCACCGAAGGAGCCACCACCGCCTCCGAAGTGACCACCACTTGAGCTTCCAGATGATCCACCGGAATAGCCACCTCCAGCGCCTCCAGAGAAGCCACTAGACGATCCACTTCCAGAATATCCGCCTCCTGAACCTTCCGAGAAGCCACCTCCTGAGCCCCCAGAGAAGCCACCTCCTTTACCTCCAGAGAAGCCACCAGACGAACCACCTCCGGAATATCCGCTTCCTGAACCTCCAGAGAATCCACCTGAGCCCCCTATGAAGCCACCTCCTTTACCTCCAGAGGAGCCACCAGACGAACCACCTCCGGAATATCCGCCTCCTGAACCTCCAGAGAAGCCACCTCCTGAGCCCCCTATGAAGCCACCTCCTTTACCTCCGGAGAAGCCTCCTGATGAACCACCTCCGGAATATTCGCCTCCTGAACCTCCAGAGAAGCCACCTCCTGAGCCCCCTATGAAGCCACCTCCTTTACCTCCGGAGAAGCCTCCTGACGAACCACCTCCAGAATATCCGCCTCCTGAACCTCCAGAGAAGCCACCTCCTGAGCCCCCTATGAAGCCACCTCCTTTACCTCCGGAAAAGCCTCCTGATGAACCACCTCCAGAATATCCGCCTCTTGAACCTCCAGAGAAGCCACCGGAGCCCCCAGAGAAGCTACCTCCTTTACCTCCAGAGAATCCACGTGAGCCCCCTATGAAGCCACCTCCTTTACCTCCAAAGGAGCCACCAGACGAACCACCTCCAGAATATCCGCCTCCTGAACCTCCAGAGAAGCCACCTCCTGAGCCCCCTATGAAGCCACCTCCTTTACCTCCGGAGAAGCCTCCTGATGAACCACCTCCGGAATATCCGCCTCCTGAACCTCCAGAGAAGCCACCTGAGCCCCCTATGAAGCCACCTCCTTTACCTCCGGAGAAGCCTCCTGATGAACCACCTCCAGAATATCCGCCTCCTGAACCTCCAGAGAAGCCACCTGAGCCCCCTATGAAGCCACCTCCTTTACCTCCGGAGAAGCCTCCTGATGAACCACCTCCAGAATATCCGCCTCTTGAACCTCCAGAGAAGCCACCGGAGCCCCCAGAGAAGCTACCTCCTTTACCTCCAGAGAATCCACCTGAGCTCCCTATGAAGCCACCTCCTTTACCTCCAAGGAGCCACCTGACGAACCACCTCCGGAATATCCGCCTCCTGAACCTCCAGACAAGCCACCTGAGCCCCCTATGAAGCCACCTCCTTTACCTCCGGAGAAGCCACCAGATGCACCACCTCCGGAATATCCGCCTCCTGAACCTCCAGAGAAGCCACCTGAGCCCCCTATGAAGCCACCTCCTTTACCTCCGGAGAAGCCACCAGATGCACCACCTCCGGAATAACCGCCTCCAGAACCACCAGAAAAGCCACCTCCTGAACCTCCGGAGATGAATCCACCGGAGTGTCCTCCTCCTGAGCCTCCAGAGATGAATCCTCCGGATGTGCCACCTCCTCCGCCGTAACCGCCTGACCCTCCTGAAGAACCTCCGTGTCCTCCTCCTCCGCCAATCCCGCCTCCACCTCCAAGTCTTCCTCCATAACCGGCGGAGGCCAGTCCCAGGACAAGCACCAGCACCAGAATTCGTGACGGTCTCTGGAAAAGAAATTTATATTCATTATTTACCATTCTTTCATAATTCAAATCACCTGCCACACCCTGCATCTTACAGCACATTCTCCACGATACATTCCTGCAAACTTTGCTCCTAATATTACTTGAGTTATCTCTAATTAATGAGATCGATTTAGTAAGCTCTGTGTTCTTTAAAACCAAATTAGTACTGCAGTTATATGTAATATTATCAATCATTAGGAAAGTTTTATTAACAAATTAAGAATATTTCGAAGGAATGTACCTTCATGATTTTGTTTATTTTATTTAAACAAAATCAATCATATTTATTAAACAATCTTTTTTTTTAAACTATAATTAAATAACAATAAACGTGACCCAGTTAACGAACAGAAAAGTCAGTAGAAATCTCGAAAATATTTCAGCCATTTGTGTGAAAGTATCAAACAAATATATCAAAGTTCTTTTGAATAAACTGTTTCCTTTAACTTTACTTTAAACCGTTTTTGAACAGTTTGTTTTTATTTCAGTTTTGAAGGAGGTAATTTTGTCTCGAAATGTGAACGAAATCGGATCTTTGGAATAATAACAGGAGTTAGTACATTTTTACTTATTGATATTTGGTGTCATTTACAGCAATTTGTTAACTGTTAATAATTGTGATAAAATCGAAAGACAGAATAAAATCCCACCAAGTGCATCAAATGTGTTGATGGTGCCAGGACAAGATGAGTCTTTGATTACCCTCCAGCTTATGGCACTAATGTTGTTATAATGGGACCACAGGTATGTAATGTAACAGAGTAATGGCTTAAAAGTTACTTGACAACACTACGAAGGAAAGGTGAGGTAACTATGTGAATACTTCGCTAGGATAATATGATACTATTGTTACAATGATAGAAGAAGAAGCTAATGATAGACGTCTCACCATGCTTGCAGTAGCTGTTGGACTGTGCCTGAGACCATCTTGCGCCGCCTTATATATCCACCAAGTGTATCTTCCAGGGTCGGGCGAATTATAAAGCACCGACCCATGAACGTACTTATCACCATTACCTGATACGGACTACATTCCTTCACTGTTGAAACAGATATTGATTCCTATGACTTGCTGTATGTTATGTAACGAAAGGAGTCTGACTCCATCCAGTGATGAAGATGACAGAAGATGTACAAGGTTACTGATTCAGCTTTTTCACGGTTGGGGTTTTACCCCCAGAACAGAGCCGCTTCAGCCTGCAACATAAAGGTGGCCAATCCCAGTGTAAATACTTTCAGAATTTACTTTAAGCTATTAACGCTGGAAATGTTTATGTCTCCAGGATGCGTCTTTTTATTGATCTTCGCAGCCGAAATGCAGTGAATCATACCAAGTTAGATTCTCGGGCGTGATTACCTTGCATATATGTCGGTGTTTTAGGCCGAAGGCCGAATAAACCGAATTCCCATATTAATAATTTGATCGATCTTATTTTACTTATATTTTGAGAGATATATTCCATTCTGTATTTATGTTCTGCATTTACATATTTTGAGGCAAAACGAGCGACGCAATCTAATGTAACATGTCTGGGACGTTTATTCCTTAACACAGCTTATGTAAATTTCGACCGATATTAAATAATAATTCAGGATATCATTCAAAGATGGTTCCGAAAAATCGTGACAATACATACCTTACGACGTTTCAGCCAACAAAACCGAAAAGTCTGCCATATATATTATATATAAAGAAATATAAATATATAAGGAAACATATAAATATATGTATACTCCACAATATCCTTCACATTTGAGTTCAAAAAGCAACTTTTATAGAAACATTTAAGTCAGTTTCGACTTATAGCTTTAAATACGAGCAATAGTTTCATTTCTTTACAAATAATATAGTTTTCCTCAACATAAGGTGCAGTAATATATCATATAATTGACCACTGTTTCATCTTCACTGTATATACCGATGATGAGTTTCTTAAATACTTTTATATGTGTTCTAAGTAATTACCTTCTTAACAGCAAAGTCTCGGGCACTTTTCTGCTATATACTATTTTGTTTTTAAGGACATATAAATACAGCAACTAGTTGTCAAATCCAATTATCTTGAGAACATATGAACATTCGAATTGTTGAGAAGAAACAACAGGGAATAAAGCAAGCGGGAAGCTAGCAAACTAATGACCAATATATGACGCTTTAATGTAAGTTAAGGCCAAGGAACTCAAAAAGAAAACTTGGGGAAGCATAAAAAATCTCACAACGTAAGAGGAACAAAATATACCGTGAAAAAAGTTATGCTAAAACGATCAAATTACTTTAATTTATCACATAATATGACCACACGCATCAAAAGTCAAATCAGGCCACATATTAAGGCCATATTTTTCAATAGTCGGCCCTGGCCATATAATAAGGTCACTTGCATCAAAAGTGGCCTTATTGTTCTTCACACTCTGTTCTGGACGAAAATAAGGCCATATGCATCAAAAGTTCATTCTGGCCAGATAATAAGGCCAGAAAAAATATGGCCTAAGGCCAGTCCTGGTCTAAAGTCACGTTCTTCAAAAGAATGCCTAATGAATAGGATAAAGAATTTTTTTTATTAAGACTGAAGAACAAACATGAATAATTTGCCACATATCATGTGTGACAAATTTGAGTCATTGTTCTCGTTTAATTGAAATATTTTTTGCCGTCAGAGTTATTTAGGATTTTTTTTTTTAAATTTAGCTTATTCATATATTTAAAGATATACTTAAAAATCAGGTATATGAAAATAAAAGTACAACCTAGAATCTCTAAAATATAAAATTAAACTCTTGAGAAATAAAATAAAATACTGACTAAATAAAATTCGTCGGCAATGTGAAACGAGGAACAAAATGTGTAATAATTCCACTCCACAAACATAACAGGGACCTCGTAGTAATGGAGCGATACAATGAGTCAGGACTTCTGATTTGCAGAATCACCCCCCAACCATGAGATTAATAAGGAGAAAAATTCTAGGTGAAATCAGATTCGCCTTTTATGTGAGGGGGCGAGACGCCCTCCCTGTGGAGAGTTAATGGTGGGTGAGCGGTAATGGGTCGTCTTTGGGTAGTTGTAGCAGGCTGTATTGAAGTTATGTGTTTTATGGTGCTGCGGCCAAATTATAAATGGCAGAAACTTTATGTTAATCACCATAACATCAATAGACAATGTATATCTTCTTATAATATAGTTAAATTTCATTTTCTTTTTGTTTTTCAAATATTTTGACAGGCTTAGCCAGCGCCAGGTGCCAAACATCGTCTTGAGGGTCAGTATGTCACCATTGCGCGCTGTTCTCTTTCGAATTCCGACGACACCGACCAGTCTATGTCCTTTACCCTAGACAATTTGCCCCTGCAGATTTGTGTGAGACAAGCCTAAATCATCTGGACCTAGATTCAGGAAGCTCTGTGTATTTCTTCGTAAGTTGGTTTGCTACGAAGGTTCCTAAGTGCGCCCTAAGAAGATGTTTAGGTGCGATTTAATAAGGTCCACTTAGGAAGAAATTTGTTCGTTCACCTGCGTGCCGATAGAGGTCACTACTGTGTTTCGTTTGGCCAATCAGAGAGCAGCAACATTCTTCATATTGAAGATTTAGCGCTGGTTTATCGGAGCTCTACTGCCTCCTATTTATGTCGAATTTTCTTATAAAATTAGTATATTTCGAAGTAAAACAATGTTTTTTCAACTTCTACAGCCAGCACCGACATTGTAGTAAACAAATATGTTACATTTGTTGTTTACCTACGTAATTCTAAGAGATACTGTGTAGCTGCCCTTGTTGCTCGGAAGATGCGCTGACAATTATTGTATATATTTACTGAATTTACACAAGGGCCACTAACTATCTAGTTGCCTCGAAGAGGACAGAAAGCCGGCGGCTTGTTAAAGGGCCCGCCAATTGTCTTAATGATATTTTTAGCTGGAATTTGGCATTTACAGCTTCAGCAGGTAGGCGGTTCCATGGGTTTATAGCCCTCTTGGTGGTAAAAAACATCTGTGTTCAGTCCTACTTGAGAGAACATACTCTCCAACACTATATCTGTGATTGCCCTGTTATCAGTGACTTCATACCAAATGGTATGAGGTATTTTGAGCTCTGTCATTACTTCATACACTCAGGAATATTGGAAGATATTCATGTGCTGCACCCAGATTTTGCCAGTAGAGGCTAATAGATCAGCATTAAGTATTTTGTTCTCTCCTAATTCCATGTATGACTGGCCATCCTGTGAGGTGAGGATGTTGGATGAGCTTGTAGCTGGTTTTTGATCTACACTGTGTGGTCCTTTATACAGAATAGGGAAGCAGCACATTGCTGTGTATACCTAAACATGTTTAAAAATACATTGTTTGAGAGGAGTCTTGTAGAAACTGGTAAGAGTAATTATAATAATTCCATGATTCAGTGCTTACCTCTTGTGTAAGTCGCGAAGAGTTGTTTAGTCAGAGTTGATTTGTTTTTTGTATTGAGGCTGGTATTTTCTAAATTGATTCCATGTACAGTACTGTATGTTAACCATACCCTCCTGTGAGATGGGAGTATTAGATAAACTTATAGCTAGTTTTTTATCTACACTGTGTAATATTCCATATAGAATAGGGGGTAGCTGCACATTGCTGTGTATACCTAATCTTCTTAATAAAAAAAATCAGTAATAAAGATTTTAAATTATAGTTTGTATTATTAACAAATACAGTACTGTATTATCCTTATTAAATCATGTTGACCATGGATCATTAAGATCTCATGTTGATATGTAATAGTCATATTTCTTTTGAACTGCTAATCCATGCTAATCATTCATTAAATTGTGCATTATGTCTCAATTTTTCACTTCCCTGGATATACTGTACAGTTGCAAAAAGATAGGATATAAATAAACCAGTAATATTTCTTTCATTATATTTTTCATTTAAATAACTGCATCCATATTTTTACAGCTGACAGGATTTGTTTTACCATACAGGTGCATTATTTGTTAAAAAAAATTTGGTTTATTGTTACACACAATGGTGCTACATAGCTTTCCCAGCTTGGTGCCTTCTTTTAATACTTACTGATTAAAAAAAAATATTAAATACATTTTATTCAGGAAAAGTACATACAGTTGATTTACAAACATAATGTTGGATTTATAGACAGAGC